TCTTGAGCCCACGGGGGTCTACCCCACTTCCCCCTCTAGGGCTCACGCCCTTCCCTCTCCCTCTCTCTGTCTTGCTTCTTCTCCTTCCTCCTCTGCCTTTCACTCTTCTCTTTAGTGTAGCCATACCCTCTCTCTCGAATCTGTCATGTCTGGCTTATGCTGGCGCCGACAGTCCAGGCTAGGTCTCAGAAAACTGGATTGTTGACTTCTGTTTGTGTTGTACTCATTTTGTCTGTTTTTGTCATTAATATGTACTTCTTATTCTGATCATTATGTTCCCCTGTGTGGGTGACACTGCTATTAAAATTACTTCTTGAAAACTAAAATAAAAATATTGATTGAGAAGTGGCAGCATATAACCCATGGTCAAGACTTAAGACTGTGTCCAGTACTGTACTACAAGGAAATTATTTTTACAGATAAGGAAAAAATCTTTATTCAATTAGTGTTTAAGTATTCCATTTTTTTTTTTCCAAATACTTTTTTTAATAGTTTACAAACCATCAAACAAATTGAAACAACCTATACACTGGCCGTATATTCCTCACATAAGACATTAGGGGTTCATGTACACGGGGCGGTTGGAAAATGATAGAAACTGACTGCTGGAAAACATAGGTTAAAAAAGTCAATTCAGCTGCGTTTGCATAACACGTTTAGCTGTGTTTATGCACGTTTGCATTTAGAAGCGTTTTTAAAAGATAACCTCAGGAGACCCTCCCAAATGCCCAGAATGCACTGAAAAATAGTAAATTCACTAAAAAAGGCTACTAAAATACCGCATGAGTTATTTCATCAAATCATGTGGTATTTTAGTAGTGAAAAGCATGCATTAATGTTTCAGTTGTCAGTGGGATTCCCACTTTCAGCTGAATGTAAAAGAAAGAATTGCCGGCAATAAAAAAAAATAATAAAAAAATTGTGTGGGGTCCCCCCTCCCATCCATACCAAGCCCTGGTATGGATTTTGTGGGGAAGCCCCACACCAAAATTAAAAAAAAAAAAAATGGAGCGGGGTTCCCCTCAAAATTCATACCAGACCCTTATCCGAGCATGCAGGTCTACTTTGGGGGACATTCTTTTATTAAAGAACTTGACATAGAATGACTCCTGTCCTTTTTCACACTACAGCTTTTTTTGTAACTGGGTAGTGGTACCATTTACCCCATACTCATTCATGCGGGGGGGGGGGGAAACTGGGATCTAGGAGCTAAAGGGGGCTTCCAGATTACAATAAGGGGGGGGGCGCTTGCGCTCACTCTCGTCCCCCCTCCCCCTTCCTGACCTGCCGGCTGCATGCTTGGATAAGGGTCTGGTATGGATATTGGGGGGGTGGGGAAACCCCACAACATTTTTGTTTGTTTTTTTTGGTGTGGGGCTTCCCCTCAAATCCATACCAGACCCGAAGGGCTTGGTTATGGATGGGAGGGGTGACCCCACGCCATTTTTTTTAAATTATTTTTTAATTGCCAGCAATTCTTTCTTTTACATACAGCTGTCAGTGGGAACCCCACTGACAGCTGAAACATGATGTATGCTTTTCACTACTAAAATTCTGCATGACTTTATAAAATCATGCAGTATTTTAGTAGCCTTTTTTTGTGGATTCAAATTTTTTTTTTTTTTTTAAATGCTATGCAGTATCGTTCTGCATACTAGGATGCGGTAGGATGTTGCTTAGTGAATTGTGCGCTGGATATGGACCAGTCGGTTAGCCACGTTTACAAGCGTTTGAAACACTGATAAAATCTACTCCTGAACGCAAGTTTGGTGCGTTCAAAAAAAAGACTGTAAACTCAACTGCCTTTAAACGACTGTAAACGACATAATGTACATGGACGCATAGGAAACATTAGGAAGAGTTCAGGGGCTGCTGAAAAAAACACAGAAAAGCTCTTGAATTTGAGTTTATCAGCTGCAGTGTACATGAACTCTAATATCCTTATTTGCACATAGATATAGTAAAGTCCGAGCTAGATATGGTATCAAATCAGTACTCTATTACATCTCTGGTATCATGTAGCAATAAAACGTGTTACAATCACATTACCTTTCTAACTTAATTTGCTAATTCCTATGGTCAATGAAATAGTGTACTGACCCACATCATGTCTTGCCCATGGGTAAAGTGCCTAAATTATGTCCGCAACATTTCGGGTCCCTCTACCATTAGTGGTGTCATATAAGTCTGGTGTTGTGATACCCATATATCTCCAAGCAAGGGTCAAGACCACAAAACTACTAACATTGCAGTATACTCAGGGATACAAGAGCTAAAGGGGGCAAACCTGGAGTCTGAAGCCAAGGGTCACAAATCTTACTGAATTTAGAGTGAGTCCCCCTCTCTCATAATGTTTCTTTTTCGTACTCCATTTTTAGGGGGATACAGTATATTTATAATAAAGTAAAATATTTTAACTGTAAATTTGATGTTTAGTGTATTAATTTTTAATGCCTTAATTTTCTCTGTTATGCAGTATAATACTTTTTATTTGCCACCCATATATATTAAAATAAATAATTTGAGTCCTTGGGAACCTTTTTTAAACTATTCATGGTCATCCAAATTAGATTAGTGGGATGCACAGGAGAGACTGGAGCAGCAGTAGAGGGAGCCTGGGAGACTGAAAGGGGAATGTTTTGGGTTGATACTGGGTTGGCAACCTAGGAATTAAGTCTTCAAATTCCTTTTATAGGCATGTCTCATTTCCATTTGGAAAATTTGTAAACATCTCTTTTAAATAGGTGGAGCCCTCCTAATTATGAAACCAACAGCTTTTTGGAACACATTCCACAATATTTATTTAAATTCTGTTTTTTTTTTTGTCCTCATTGCCATCCTGTAAACATGAAATGAGTATACACACTAAAATCTCCAGCATAAAAACAGATCAGAATATAGTGTAACAACTACATGTGCCCATGCTTGACCTATAAGACTACAGCAGTGGCAGTGGACCCAGCAGATGTTTGCTTTATGCTTAGGGAGGAACCAAATGAGCTAACCAGCTCCTTCCTTAGGTCACTGATTAGTTGCCCATCTGTCAATGCTAGGCATCTGGACATGATATCTCTGTCACTCCTGCCCATAGAACTTACACAATTTTGGCATTGTCCTTTGAGGTAAGAATCAGAGGGATGATGGTTTGGTATAATAGCCCCAATCTTTGTTATTTCCTGGTATTGCTTCATTGAAGAGACAGAAGACGAGGAAGGGGTTGATAGTGGGAGTTATCTTGTCTCTAGAAGGAGGCAGATCTGTCTCTCTTGGACAGACTGCCATAGAGGGAGTAGTAGAAACGTGTGATCTGAATATAAAAGTCCAAGAAAACAAGCCAATGCGTGTCAGGACTTATAAAGTTACCCCCTTAGCTCCCCTTTATCTCCTTTTAAAGTATTCGTTTGGACTTGTGGTTTCAAGAACTCTGGAGTGTAGTGGCTCCCTTTACTCTAAGGCAGACTTTAGCAACTCTTCTAGTAGTTAAAGTACACTAGCCATGAGATAAATGTACAGTTGCTGGCTTCCTTAGAGAATGCTATTTACCTTTTTCTCCTACTGATGTTGAACTGGTTGGACAGCTCACATGGCTGGGCTTCAAATATTAGGGGAACACTATTTCAGAGGGCCGAAATTGGCAGAAAAAGGTGGAGGGGTATGTATGTGAAGAGCGATCTAATCGTGAGTTTAAGAGATTATCTCACAAAGGAGAACTGTAATTGTGCAGAGTCATTATGGCTGGAGCTCCATAAGAGTGCAGCAAATAGTGAATTATTTATTGTAGTATGTTACAGGCCCCTAATATAAAGGATAATGAAGAGTCTTAGCACCTTTCACAGACTGAAATGACTATAAATCAGGGCAGTGTTGTTATGGGTGATTTTAATTATCCTGATAATGATTGGGCAAATGTAACTGCATAGTCAAGAAAGGCTTGCCATTTCCTAAATGTATCGCAAGACAATATCAAAGAATAGATGGTGGAAGCCCCAACAAGGAAAAATACCCTGTTGCATTTATTCAGTTCAAACAATACAGAGCACAGAGCTTAGTACAGATGTGTTAGAGATAACTTAGAAAATGGTGATCGTGGTGTAATTACATGCCATCATTTACAGGAACAAGAAGCATGTCAAGAACTCTAATTCCAAAAAGCTGCAATTCTTACTGCAGGACATTCAATGAGACCAAATATTTACAAAACAGAACACAATGGCAAGTGGGAGTGTTTTAAAGATGAATTAAACAAGTCCATTAGTCATTGTGTTCTATGGGGTAACAGGCATGAAGAGAAACACAATTAAAGCCTGTGTGGCTTCTAGGGTAAAAAAGTAAACAAATGAGAAAAAAACAGGACTTTAAAAAGCACACAGTAGAAGAGACACCTCAGTATTGCACATTTACAAAACAAATGCAACAGTAAATGCAAGGGAGCAATCAGGGTAGCTAAAAAAGAGAAACACATTGCAACAGCAAATAAAGCAAATCTCAAAAATGTTTTTAACCGCAAACCTACAGGGCACTTAAACCCCCTTCCTGCCCAGGCCAATTTCCAGCTTTCAGCGCTGTTTCACTTTGACAATTGCGCGGTCATGCAACACTGTACCCATATGAAATTTTTAATATTTTTTTTGTGACAGATAGAGCTTTATTTTGGTGGTATTTAATCAACTCTGAGTTTATTTTTTCTTAAACCATAAACCACTGAAAATTTTGAAAAAAAAAGTTTCTTAGCTTTTGTTATAAAATTTTGTAAATAAGTGATTTTTTCTCCTTCACTGATGTGCGCTCATGAGGCTGCAGTGTTGGGCACTGATAGGTGGCACTGATGAGGAGGCACTGGTACGTGGCACTGATGGGCACTGAAAGGCAGCACTAATATATGGCACTGATAGGCGGCACTGATAGGCACTGTTAGGCGGTAGTGACTGGCACTGATAGGCGGCACTGACGGGCACTGATAGGCGGCACTGACAGGCACTGATGCGCACTGATAGGCGGCACTGATGCGCACTGATAGGCGGCACTGATGCGCACTGATAGGCGGCACTGATGCGCACTGATAGGCGGCACTGATGCGCACTGATGGGTGACACTGAAAGGCAGCTCAGATGAGCAGTGATATGTGGCATTGATGTGCACTGGTAGGCACTGATGTGTGGCATTGATGTGGCACTGGCGAGCACTGACAGCTGGCACTGATGGACACTGACAGGTGGCACTGCTGGGGTTACACTGATCATCAGGGCACACTGATCATCAGTGCTCTGATGATCAGTGCAGATGTCCCCTCCGCGGAATGCCGATTACCGGCTCTCCTCACCTCTCGAGCTGTCAGCGTGACGGCTCGAGAGGAGAGAAATGCCGATAACCGACATTTCCCTGTTTACATGTGATCAGCTGTGATTGGACACAGCTGATCACATGACCAAGCCGACATCATATGACGTCCTCCCAGAACGAGAGAGCCACCTTGAGAACCACCCGTCATATTACTATATGGCAGCCGGGAGGTGGTTAAGTATATCAATAGTGAAACACTTATGAAAGAACAGATAGGTCCCATAACAAGATGAACATGGGTGGCTGGTCACAGATGATGGGGAGAAGATAGATGTTTATAAATAATTTTTCTCATCAGTTTTTACAAATGGAAAAGATGGATTTGATTGTCTTTACAGTACTATTAATGTTGGTTTACCAAAGGCAGCTCTATGGTTGACTGAAAACCAAGTGAGAGAGAGACTAGAGGAACTTAATATAAACTTTAGGTTCAGATGGCTTGCACCCACAAGTCCTTAGGGAGCTTAGCTTCGTTATAGCTAACCCTCTATTTTTAATTTTTTAAGATACCCTACTGACTGGAATGGTACCAATTGATTTGACTTAGAGCAAAAACAGATATAGTACCAATTTACATAAAGGTTTGAGATGTATATTGGAAAACTACAGACCAGTCAGCCTAACATCAATATTATGTAAGGTATTTGAGGGATTCTATACAGAAATGTCTTTTCACACCAACCTGTTATTGTTCAGCAAGGAAGTAGGTGAGAAACTGAATGGTGGAAGTTCAGTAGACTTAGTTTCTCTGCCAAGGCATTACATGAATGGGTCCAGAGAGTAGTGATAAACGACTCCTTCACTTCTCATATGGTCAAACGTTGTGAGTGATGTGCCCCCAGGGTTCTGTCTTGGGGCCAATGCTGTTCAATTTGTTTAATGATCTAGAGATTGGAATCAAATTCAGTATTTGCGGATGGTACCAAAATTATGCAGCGAAATAACTTGGCTACAGTATATAGCATCATTACAAGATGTCCTTGACAAAGTAGTGTGTTGGACAGCTCCATGGTAGATGAGGTTCAATGTACAGAAATGTAAAGTTATGCACCTAGGTGCCAAAAATACACTGCTCAAAAAAAGTAAAGGAACACTTTGAAAACATATTAGATCTCAATGGGGAAAAATAGCATACTGGATATCTATATTGATATAGACTGTAGGTTGATCATTTTCATTTACATCAAATGATGGGGTAACCAGAGGACTGAATTCAAAGACACCCCGAAAATCAAAGTGAAAAAATGATTCAACAGGCTAGCCGATTTTGCTGAAATTTCATTGCAGCAACTCAAAATGGTACTCAATAGTTTGTATGGCCCCCACTTGTATGCATGCCTGACAATGTTGGGGCATGCTCCTAATGAGATGACGGATGGTGTCCTTGGGTATTTCCTCTCAGATATGGACCAGGGCATCACTGAGCTCCTGGACACTCTGATTTGCATCCTGGCGGTGTTGGATGAACCGCTACATGATATCCCCAGAGGTGTTCTATTGGATTTAGGTCAGGCGAGCGTGGTGGCCATTCAATTGTATCAATTGCTTCATCCTCCAGGAACTGCCTATATACTCTCAACACACATGACCTCGTGTATTGTCGTGCACCAGGAGGAACCCAGGACCCACTGCACCAGCATAGGGTCTGACCATGGGTCCAAGGATTTTCATCCCGATACCTAATGGCAGCCAGGGTGCCATTTTCTAGCCTCTAGAGGTTTGTGCGTCCCTCCAATAGATATGCCTCCCTAGACCATCACTGACCCACCACCAAAACGGTCATGTTGAATGATGTTACAGACAGTATAACATTCTCCACAGCTTCTCCAGACCATTTCACATCTGTCACATGTGCTGAGGGTGAACCTGCTCTCATCTGTGAAATGCACAGGGCACCAGTTGCAAACCAGCCAATTCTGGTGTTCAGTGGCAAATGCCAATCAAGCTCTTTGGTGCCGGATGAGGATGTTGGGCCCTCAGGCCACCCTCATGAAGTCTGTTTGTGATTGTTTGGTCAGACATTCACACCAGTGGCCTGCTGGAGGTCATTTTGTAGGGCTCTGGTAGTGCTCATCCTGTTCTTCCTTGCACAAAGGAGCATATACCAGTCCTGCTTACGGGTTAAGGACCTTCTACGGCCCTGTCCAGCTCTCCTAAAGTAACTGCCTGTCTCCTGAAATCTCCTCCATGTTCTTGAGACTGTGTTGGAGACACAGCAAACCTTCTGGCAATGGCACGTATTGATGTGCCGTGCTGGAGGAGTTGGACTGCCTGTGCAACCTCTGTAGGGTCCAGATATCGCCTTATGTTGCCTGTAGTGACACTGACCCTTGTCAAATGCAAAACTAGTGAAAAAGTCAGAAAAAATGAGTAGGGAAAAAAACAGTCAGTGGCTTCCCCCTGTAAAACCATTCCTATTTTGGGGATCATCTAATTATTGCTCATCTAGTGCGCCTGTTAATTTCATCAACACCAAAGCAGCTGAAACTGATTACCTTAACTGACCAGATCAATATCCCAGGAGTTTAATTGACTTGATGCTGTACTCTGATTAAAAAGTGTTCCTTTAAAGTAGTGTATATTACTTGGTGAATCAGTGATGGAAAAGAATTTGGGAGTGCTTGTAGATCAGATTTAGCAATAGCATGTAATGCTGAGCTGCAGCTAACAAAGCTAGCAGAATAATGTAATGCATTAAAAGGACATACATCAAAAAATAAATCAATTTTACCCCTTTGCAAAACACCTGATTTTGAATATGCAGTTCAGTTTTGGTCGCCATTCCTCAGGAAAGACGTTATTGAATTAGATAGAGTTCAGCAACGGGCAATTGAATTAATAAGTGGGATGGAGGACCTCAGCTATGAGGATCGATTTACATAAGATTAGTTATTCACTATGCAGAAGGGGACATTATTATAATGCACAAGTATAGGTGACTTCAATAACAGTAATACATGGTTTACTTCAAGGCCTCACAATAGGACACTCAGCGACAATTTGAGGTTAGAAGTAAGGAGGTTTACCCTTAGATAGCAGAAATGGTTTTTCACTCTTAGAGCAGTTAAAATGTCGAACTCCATCCCCCTGGAAGTGGTACTAGCTGAGAGTGTCAACAACTTAAAAAAAACTTTGATGTCTTACTCTGGAAGCAGAATATACAGGGCACTGGGAATTGTTAGAGTATAAAAATCACACATACAGTACATAGGTTGAAGTGGATAGACCAGTGTTTTTTTTTTTTTTTTCTCTTCTCTTAAACATTATAAATGATGTAACTATGTTTTGGCTTTTGTAATTTGAGTAACTGACTTGGGACAAGTATATACATTGGGAATGAATCTTGTACAGGTTTTTTTTCGTTAAAGGTCAAGAATAATGGCAACCATTGTATTTCATTTGTCATTGGTTCTCCTTTGTGTGTTACAGTTTATATAGGTGAAGATTAAATGTTAAAGCAGTAAATAAAATCTGTGGGAGAAGCAGAGTATACAAAATTCCTGCTGTCAAGTTTCCTTACCTCTGTCTGTCTGCTGCTTTGTTCCATGCTGCAGTCTCCAAACTTCTGGTTTATTGCACATATGGGTTTTCTACTCACCCTCCAACTATTCTTTACTCAGTCCTTGAACGACTAGTCACATTGAGGGGAGTGTATGCTTAACTGAGGTTTGCCATGTGGTATGATTGGTACTTTCATAGGATCACATCATTGATCATGGGTTCCACCCATGATGAGTCAAGAAGGTTTAACAATATTTATAGTTTGCTGTTTTGCAGAGATTGGTGTGAAAAGTTTTTAACGACTCGTGTAATGCATTTTTAAGCATTTATCTGCTTTATGAAACTCTTCTTTACGCCTTGTTTATCTCTCATTCATGTCCCATGATCGTTCACAGCTGGACAAAAGATAAACGTGTATTGCTTATAATGTCCAAGTCCAAAAAGAAGTGGGTTCCCATCCGACCGCTCCCATCCATTCGCTCCTTTCCACAGCAGTATGAGGTGAGAATGCTTTGTTTCTACAGATTTCAGACAACTTTCTCTAATTCTTATGAAATCCTATACAGTTGCCTAAATAGTAGATCAGGTTGCATTAAATTAAAGGCACATTATACCATGAAACAAAGTTGCTCTATGTAAAAGTGTTGCCTCCAATACCTATGAGAAATTGAGATAATTGAGGCTGTGTCAAATTAAATTAGCATGTGTCTTTCTTTATTATTACTACATAGGATCTGCAATAATTTCAACAAAATTTACATATACAGTATATCAGCAAATTATTGTGTATGATTCAGTGTTTCCCAAATCTGTCCTTGGGGACCACTAGCAGCTCATGTTTTACAAATCTCTTCTTAAAATCACAGCTGACAATATTACAGCTGTTCCTTTAAACTTGAATTAACAGACTTCTGCAAAACATGTTTTGCTTGGTCTAATAGGTTCTTTTGCGGTACATGCCAAGGAAGTGATTAAAGCCATACGTTCAAAATTACTTAAATCCCTATTCTTCCCCATTCTGATGCTCAGTTTGAACTTCAGCAAGTTGTCTTCACCATGTCTAGATGCCTAAATGCATAGAGTTGCTGCCATGTGAGTGGCTGATTAGCAATTTGTGTTACCACACAACTGTACAAGTAGCTGGTGAGTGTATGTGATGCATAAATTTACTAATCAGCTACTTAACTTGGTTTCCTGGTAATAGAATCTTCTCATGTCACATATCTTAAGCTATAAAAAAATCACCACATAACCATAGCAACACACACGACCAGTTAGTTGCACACACTCAGTAGAGGGTTTAAGACATTCTCTTTAGGTATATAGCTAATCTTACATTGGATGATGTTAGTGGGAGCCAACACAGCGCCTCTTTAGTTGTTCATATGCAACAGCCAGTATCAAATGCTGTTGCCATTTGCTCTCCGAATGATCTACGGAGTCTCGCATGCTGTAGTTGGCACTTTTTCATAGCAATATTGGGCTCCGCTTATTCTCAGAGTACATAGACCAGATTTGTGCTAGCTGCTGGTAATTGTATTGTTCTACATATGCAGGGTGGCACAGAGAGACTTCATTCTAGTAG